TGTTTTAATTTCGGTATTTTCCCCGTCCAACACTGTAGCCCTGAAAAAGCCCTTTACTAGACTTAAGTCTGCCCACGACGCTCTTAACTACAGATTCATTGAGATCCTGGGACCATACATTATCATCAGGCTGTATTTTACCGAGTCTAATCTTTCTGCTACATTGCGTCCTAATGTCTAGCATTATCTATAACCCTCCTGCCCTCCGTCCAGTCTCTGTCAACAAGACCTGGTGAACAAACCAGAGCTCGACAATACTTCTGCTTCTCATTTTTGCTGCAATGCAAACTGTTCCTTTTCTTCTCCATTATATGAACACATGCAAACAACAAGGTTTGTGATTTTGTTTCTTAATTCTCAGTAAGCCTTCAGTAAAATCTCCTGGAACTGGGTCTTATTTAAAGCTTTACCCATCACTTATGTTTACTGTATATTGGGCCGTCAACACTTTAACATCATGCTGCATGGAACTGAGAGACTACAGGTGGCAGTAAACATAACAATCTGTGTTACATGACTAGTCTGTACACATCCCCAAGCTCCATTGAAGGCCCAATAAACAATATCCCTGCCTGAGTCCATCCCATCTGCATTTGCTGTTTCTGGGGTCGTGGGCGTGGTTAGAGGAACCATAAGGCACGTGATTTCAAACCTACCCCCGGCAGCCTGCTTCTCAGCCTCCTCCCTCACGAGGGGTGAAGTCAGATGTATGGTGAGGGTCAGCGGTGTCTCCTTTGAGTTTTTGATGACAATGGTGGCATCACGGATACAAGGTTTAACGTCATATTTTTCCTCTGTGATGACCTGCAGGACAGATCAATGAGGTTTCCGCATGATTTATACATCCTGAGATTAGACAATGTTCAAAGTGTTAAAATTACAGATGCAGGTATACCTTAAGCTGCGCAGTGAGGTTCTCAGACACTTTCTTCAGCAGGGTGATGGTGGGTTTGTCTTTGCACAACAGCACGAGCTCCAGGTCAATATCTCCCTTCAGCAGGAGACCTTTAGCTACCAGCCCCACACGCATGACTCCACGCAGGGAACGCGTGGCCTGATCCATGGACTTTGGTTCACTGGAGGACAAAATCTGGAGTTACTAACTCACAACAATCTAACTAATCATATGGTCACAGAGAAGATTAAACTAAAAGATCACTGACGTCTCCTTCTCGGCGTCTCCATCGGACTCCAAGGTGATCCCTTTGGTAGTTCCTTTCTCCTGATCGTCCAGCCAATCAGAGACAGCCTTGAGGGCACGTTCGGTGTGGGACACCATGTTCTGCACCCCTTCCAGCTCCTCCTGGGTGGGATAGATGGCTGAGTGCTTAGCCATCACATGACGGTCATCGTTCACAAAGATGCGCATGGAGCGATGACGAAGAGGAGGAGGCTTCATGGAAACAAAGACAGAAAAAACATATACATATATAACTTAATATGTACACATTACATATTAACAAAACACATTCATTTAAACCAAAGGGTTGGGCGCATACACTACCTTTTTTAACAATTGAATACTATAGCCGCTTTTCGTGGTTGTGCAGTGTATTTTCTGGCATATTAATACTATTATTCATTAGTTCTAGATTGTGTTAATTAGCTTTAGTGAATTTTACAATTTTTGAAAGACTTCCTATCAGCAAACAGACATCCATTCTTAGAGCGTAGAAGCATTGAAACACGTATACTATACCATGATGGGTACAAAGTAGTTCTTCAGTTTGGCAGTGTTGGTCTAAATGTGGCAGGGAAATGCTGCTCCAGTTGGTCTGTAATGAAAAACAATCTATTTTCATAATTCAATACACTCATTATACTTTATATAATCAGCTGAAACCTACATGGTAATTCTTTTAAAGCTATTTTTAAGACTGTCTGTGATTGTCTAGGTGGTTAACATTAAAGAGATAGTGCAACCCCTTAAGGCCTATGCCAATCCACATAATCCTTCTGTGTTCATCCTTGCCAATGTTCACAAAGAGCACAGGAGCATTACATATTCAGATCTCCATGGAGACAGTGACTCAACACAACAGATGATGTCATCCAGGTCTAAGAGATGCGGCACAACTAGCTCAGAAACTGAAACCATCTTTTTATTCACCTGACTGAAAACTGATATACAATTAAAACATGACTGACAAGACTTCCTAATGCAATTACAACTCAAAAAATGGGATTTTTGCATTTCCTGACACCTCAAACTCATTTCCTGCTATTGTCTACATGCTTATCGCACAAGTGCTAGTAAATCTATTGTTCATGAGTGCCATTCTCACCTTTCTATATGTGGGCAGAATGTTTATCACCACTCATAGCTCCTTGAATAGCCAGTAAATGTTTGTTGATCTCACAATTCACAAGTGGACCATCTCACTTCTGCAACTTCTAACTACTAGACTATTATTATTGGTTTAAAACCATCCGAAATTGTAAAAGGCAGCAGTGCATTTGCATGTTAAAGGGATACTCCACCGTTTTTACATATTAAACTATGTTATTCCCTTAACTAAGACGAGTTGATAAATACCTCTCTCGTCTCAGTGTGTGCACGCAATCGCTTTGTTAGCACATAACTTAGCCTAGTTCATTCAATAAGGGCCAAGCAGAGAAGCGACCAAACACCTCCACATTTTCCCTATTTAAATACAGTTACACAAGTAGTGTAACTCACCAAGAATGGTGAAAAAAAATAATATGTTGTGCTAAGCATGTAAAGTGGATACATATAATATATGGCAGAATAGCACAGCAAGGCCTTGGGAGCACTTCAACTCAGCGCAGTAATATCAGTGGTGAAAAGTCCTCTCCCTCTCCGGAGTGATGATATTACTGCGCCGAGTCGAAGTGCTCCCAAGCCCTTGCTGTGGTATTACACCACACATTATAATTATCCACTTTGCACACTTAGAAAAGCGCAACATTTTATTTTGTGTCACCGTTCTTGATGTAACTATTAAAACAGAGAAAATTTGGAGCTGTTTGGTCGTTTCTCTGTTTGGATCCTAATGAATGAACTGGGCTAGTTAAGTGCTATCAAAGTGTCTTGCACGTCAGAAAGATTGAGCACTGAGACGAGAGGTATGCATCAACTCGTCTTAGTTAAGGGAATAACAGTTTAATATGAAAAAACGGTGGAGTAACCCTTTAAAAAACCAATTTATACTGTGAAAAAATATTTAATTAAGTAAAAAAAATATCTAGTGTTACTACTAAATATATTTTATTCACTACAGTGCTTTGTGGTTATGTATATTACTTTGTGTAATTTTAATCAAAATAATTTAGATAAATTTCCTGCCCGATTTTTTACAATTTCTCTCTTTAAAAACTTCACAGATCCCCTAGCACCCTGACCCCACTTTGAAAACATTTGTATTATATTAAAGTAACAAAAATACCTTGGGGGGAAAAAAAGCTTGGATTTTGCACTAGTGAGACTGGTTCCCCCAAATATTACAATGAAGCGTAAAAAATGACCAAAGCATTGATGTGAAACGAAAGACAAAAATGTGTAATTATTAGACTTAAACGATCTTTTCACTATACTACTTAAAATAAATATTATTGCCTCATTGCTATGAAGACTTTAATTTGGAATAACGTCAACACAAGCACTTGTTGACGCCCAAACAAACCCCGTAAGTCTAAATAAGAAAAAAAATATGATTTATAAAAAAAAACTTATATCTTACATGTTCAATGTACGCACAAATTAAAGTGAACTTATATCTAAATAAACACACCAGTGTGGAAGTAAACAAGGAAAACGCAGTATGCATCACAGATGCGTGCGGCCATTTTAGTGCAGCCAAACAATGGGGACCGGTGTCCTCAAACATCTACCGTCATTTAATAAAGCCACTGATCTTTAAGGTGTCGTTTCTAATGGTAAATTTGCTATGTGCACGAAAATCTAGCTATTGACGCCAAAACATGCTTTCTAAACAAGATGCGCATTTTGGTTTTAAGAGACGGCCAGAGATGGCGAATGAGATAAAATGGTCGTGACCCTCCCCCCAAACACCCCAAAAAACGAATTTATCTTCGCCAGAATGCCCATTTAACTACACAATGAGACAAAACAGAAGACTACTTTATTAATTAAGACGTAAATGTAAGGCAAAAATAACATGTAGCGCTCAAGTCTCGCTGTTTTTGTAATACTCGCGAAGAGCTAGCGTGCTAACTGCTAGCCATAGCCGTTTGTTAGCAAATGTATAGATTTTCACTGCATATAAATGTTGAGCCAACACATTTAGAGCAAATAAGAATAATTAGATCGGGTTATTTACAACTAAAACATGTAATGTTTAAGAATATTTATGTTTTTATCTACTCACCAATGCTGCAAGAAAGATGCGCCCGTCCACTGTTCTGCAGCCGAGGAGAATCAGCGACAGCGTGCGCTAACCGCTAAGCTGGAACACGTACACGTGATCTCAGTGAACCAATAAGATCATCCCGTCCGATACAGACGGTGATGAATGGAGAGGGCGTGGTTTTGTCATTCAGACTAGCAACTTCAAAATCACACTTTCTTTCTTTCTTTCTTTCTTTCTTTCTTTCTTTCTTTCTTTCTTTCTTTCTTTCTTTCTTTCTTTCTTTCTTTCTTTCTTTCTTTCTTTCTTTCTTTCTTTCAAATGGTTTTTAAAATAAAGTTAGGCTACTTACTGTAAAAATAAATCCTCCCTGAAATTGTTAAGTAGCCTAGGAACAGCATTAATTTAAAGTAGGCTACAAATCTAATATTATAAATTACTTTAATTACTTTACTAATAAAACTGTAACTTGTATGTTTACATCATTTCAACTTAAATTACATTAAACTAACTTGAAAACTTAAATAACTTACAAAAAAGTTGAAAATTGCTAAACTTATTTTGACGAGTTAAAGCAATGTGAAACCATATGTTGTCATGTTGTCTTACTGATCATATAATTTGTATACAGTGTAGTAGAAATGGAAGTGCAACATACATGGAGAATGAAAGAACTCTTCCACAAGTGAACCTTTATTGGTCAAAATAATATATCAATAGCTTTTATAGACTATTCCTTAGCTTTTCAAGATCACAAATACAGGACAAGACACAAATATACAGATAGGTCTACAAGAACACTGAAACTGCCATGCACATGTAAAAGTTCAACTTTTAGGCTGTAGTGATGCAGTATTTTCATTATTTTACTTTTATATATTGTATGAAATAGAAATAATATAGTGCAATGGACAATACGAAATCCTGCTCTTAAACAAACAAAAAAAAACTTTTTGGTGAAGTCACTCTTATTATATTATGATGATTCACCGAGATGGTGCTTGTTTGTCCTGAAAGTAACAATTGCTAAATAGCACGCAGGCCCACACAACACTTCTTTTATTTGCTCGTCCTCTGAATCCCCATCTTCAATCCTTCATTAACATTTGAAATGGTAAAATAATGCAGGTGACATGAGGAGGTCATGTATGCAGTCCATTTCACATTCTCAGTTAGCAGACTCACTTTCCAGACTGCAAAAGTGACCAATGACTGCCTATTTTTTCACACCCTTGGTTCCAGAAATATTTTCCCCACTTTTCCCACACATTTTCTCCATAAGCCTTCCAGAAATTTCAATCAACACTACAAACTTTGAACTAGAGCAAAAAAGAAAAGGCACAAGACTATTATATTATGAGGGAATTAATTACTCATCACATGAAGCATTGTGAAAGATGTAAATAAATAATAAATAATAACACACAATGGTATTATATGAAATGATTGACAATGAGTCATTGATGATGAATTGTGCCAACAACTGTCTTAAAAGATTTATAGACTATATTGTTGCTAACGTCCATCTCCTTATGGAGAAAATGAATGGGATTTTGACTTCCAGAACCCCACTGTGCTCAATTAAAGCTTATTAAAGAGTCTGTGTTTTTTCCAGAGCCTCGCTTTACAACTTCCAGTAAGATGCTCCTTCATCCACCATTCAAGCAATACAGTAGGATCTTACATCTGCTTTCAGTTACACTTCAGCGATTTGGTTCAAACATTTCCAATTTTTTCCATGTGGAAGAACTCACACTCTTCTGGAATCTCTTCATCAGTTCAGATTAATTGCGTTCTTCACCGAGTTCTGGAAGGAGCTGATCTCCCACCGCCGGAATGTGCTCCCCCTAAGGTCACTGCGGCCGGTGGTTAAGCGGTAAATCTTTCTGAGGACGGCCCGGCGTAGAAGAATATAAACCCAAGGGTCCAGAATCTGGTTCCAGGAGGCCAGGCGCACACCCATTACCATTAAAGTCCTGTAGGTTTCCAGATCGTTCCCCATAGAGCCTCTGTACGAGCGGATGACTGACATCAGACCGAAGACCTGTCAGAATAACAGAGGAAGTTAGTTGTAGACGAAGAAATATAAAGTCATGCTGTGACAGCAAAAGGAGAATCCAGATCAAACATCCCAGAGGACAACTGCATTGCTCAGTGATAGATAGATAGATAGATAGATAGATAGATAGACAGATAGATAGACAGACAGATAGATAGATAGATAGATAGATAGATAGATAGATAGATAGATAGATAGATAGATAGATAGATTAGGCCAAGTTTAGGCTACTTTATTTATTATAGCAGCACTGTCCTTGTATGGCATCATATTTTTAGCCTTTTCAATGAAACCAAATGATCAAAACAAAAATATATATTTCTACTGGCACACACAGACATCAAGAATTAGCGTATGAATCTCAACAATGGTGATAAACAGATCACTTCTGAACATAAGCTCATTATTTATTCATGCAGCAATGCATGATTGGAGCCATGAATGAGTTTTTATCAGGGCTGTCAAATGATTAATCGCGATTAATCGCATTCAAAATAAAAGTTTGTGTTTACATAATATATGTGGGAGCATATTTGATATATGTGGGTGTATAATTATTTGATATATATAAATACACACACATGCTTGTATACAGTATATTTAAGAAATATATGTAGGTGCACTGTGTATAATTATTTTATATAAATACACACACATGCTTGTATATATTCAAGAAATATTTTCATGTATATACTGTATATAGATTTATATATAATGTATATTATATATAAATATAAATATTTTATATATAAATATTGTTTTTCTTAAATATATACATGCATGTGTGTGTATTTATATTTATACAAAATAATTATACACAGTGCACCCACATATATTATATAAACACATACTTTTATTTTGGATGTGATTAATTGGGATTAATCATTCGACAGCCCTAGTTTTTATTGGTGGCACCCAGAATGCACTGCAACATGTTTTATAATCGTCACCATTGTTGAAATTCACAGGCTGATTCTTAAAAACTGTATCAAATAAATAAATAAAAATGTTTTTTGTATATGAGACACGTATACATTTTTTTTTGAATACTTTCGAAAAGTTTAAAGAACTATGCTGTGCAAGAATAGTGCTGCTATAAGTGATAAAGTAAACCTAATTTGGGCTCTATATGAGTTCAGCAATTCAGGTCAAATGATTGTTAAATAATGATTGTTTAAACACAACCCACACCATCAGATCACCTTTTATATTTGTTTATCCGGCTGTTATAATTCACATACAGCAGCCAAACAACAAACACGTGGAAAACTAAAGCAAACACAGATCACCATAATGGTGACTTAAAATTGCAGTTTTCTCCTTCAGTGATTCTGCTTGTAATCATAAGGTGTCTGACTCTTTAATAATGCTCAATCATCACTCAATTATTAACTTTAACACTGCTTCAGTGTTTATATGAGTCCACACTCAGAGTGTTAATTTAACACTAGGGATTTCTATAGATAGATAGACAGACAGACAGATCAATAGATAGATATATTATGTGTTGCTTGTGTAGAATAATTCATATCTCTTTGCTTTGCCCTGATAAGTTGTAATGGTCACACTCACCAGCAGAGGGCTCCAGCAGATGCAAGAAGTGACCATAATGCCCACCAGCTGTGCCACCATCTCAATGTCATGCGATTTAGCTGATCTGCGCTGAGCTTTAGCTGATTTCTTCCTGCGGAGGCGGGCGATGACCAGCGTCATCACGCTGACAGTGTTGCAAACCAGTGCCACGGCCAGCGAGGCCAGTCCCAGTCCAGAAAAGAGCAGCACAAACACCACATCTGTGAGGGTCGGGGGTGTTTCGTCTGCGATGCTTGTATTGCCTAACACTCTAATGAAGCACCAGGTCCATGGGTACTGGTAGGTATATGAGCCCAGCCGAAAGAAGGGCAGCAGTGCTACTGTTAAAGCCACAAACCATATTATCACCAGCACCACCTTAGTGCGTGCAGTGCAAACCACGCGGGCATGCAGGAGAGGCCATGTCACACCCATGCACCGCTCGGCCGCCATGCCACACCCGAGAAACAGCGGGCACAGGCCGAAGAACACCATGCTGCCGCCCAAGAAATGGCAGGTGGCATCAGGATGGTTACAAATTCCCCCGGCAGTGTAGAGGCGCAGAACCAGGGCACCTGGAATAACATGACCGGCAAGGTCCGTTGCCACCAGACAACTGGCAAACAGCAGGAACGTGGCTTTTGAGCGCTTCCGCAGGCGAGCGTACGCTTTAGCGAGGATGACCAGAGCTATGATGTTGGACACGATGCCCAGTGTCATGGACAGGCCCGCCGCCGTGGGGTTGGTTGTGGAGTTCAGGTTTTCCTTGCAGCGCAGCGGTTCCACCACAAACATCTCCTGGGTCTGATTTCTGAACGCTTCCACAACGTCTGAACCGTTGCAGTGTTTGATGGCCAACATCTCCAGGCTATGGGACGAGCACCACTGACCTTAGAGACACATCGCTAAAGAGAAAAGAGGAAAGAAGTGTAAAGCTGCATGAGATTATAAAATGCAAACAAGCTTGGTAACACTTTATTTTAGGTTGATGTATGTTATAATATAGAAATAACAGTAAATTATGCAGAATTACAAGTATAACCAAACCCTAACTCTACTATAGGGTTACACTTTATTTTAAGGTGACATTGTTACAGTGTAATTTTATATTTAAGTACTGAGTAATAATAATTCCCAACATTACTGTAGGGTTAGGGCAGGATTAGGTTTGGTTTTGGGTTAATTTGGCATGTAATCATACATAATTTACTGCTATTAATATGGCAAGTATGCAACAAGGACACTGTCAAATGTTACCAAATAAAGTAAGCATTATTAGCAGACAATCAGCAAACAAAGATGTAAAAATAGTGGTGTACTGTTGATTTTGGCCACAAAGCTCAGCTATTTGGAACATTTTAATCATTTAACAAACAAGTGATTACATGCCTTCCTGTTGTTTTTTTCTTATTTACACACATCCATTAATTGAGGGAAGTTATGTTTGGAGGTCTGAAATTATACATTGACACACCTTTTAGAAAACTTTAGTGAATAGGAACATTGTTTTTCACAATTTCCTCTCTAGGGTACATGAGAAAGCAAAAAGAAAAAAGAAAATAAAAGTGCAGTACAAATTTCAACACTTCTGACCATTTACCACTATAATTTCCAGTAAAGACAACTAAACAACTGTTTGGAGATACGGGGATGATAGCAAACATATAAGTAAAATTGAACACTGTGAAAAAAAATGTGCTTCAAGTGATTCTTGTCAAGCGCAAATGATTATTTAATGTCTATATTAAACTGATTACATTACACGAAAGTTTTTAAATGGGCCAGACCAGGTATGCACAAACACACAAACATACTAACAATTAATACAATAGCCATGCAATTGCATTGCAATGGTTCAGAACAGAGTAGCCTACCAGTCATAAGTCTACATTTCTTTTTATGCTATTTTAATATTTTATATATAGCATTAAGGAAGAATCAATGCTTGTCTCTGCTTATTTCAATTTAAAAGGCGAAAAAGGAGAGAGATATTTACCATTTGAGACGCGTTTCAGAATATCCAAAGCAGCATCACTCCACCTGTACATCTTATAACATTTAATAACCCAGGCGGAAAAATTAAACAAACAGTCCTTGAGAATCGAAAGGCGATATCAGGCTCCCATCATCCATTCAGTCTGGAGAGTCTTAATACTTATTCCTGAGGGAGAAAAAACGTATTCCAGTTCGAATAAAAGTGTTTTTGTAATCTTAATACACACATTGAGTGATATTAATAGTGTTGTAGTAGCTATAGTCTGATTAAAACACGCAGAGAAGCGCGAGATGTGTGGCGTAATCCGCGCGCGCTGCTGTATTTATAGCGCTCAGTGCGCGAGACTCTCTGCTGCGCACCTTGAGCATTGAAGCGTCATTGTGTCTCACGGTTTTCGTGGCGTCATAGATGAATGAAACATTTATATACATAATGAGCGCGTATAGTATGTTTATGCATCACATTTTAGTTGATAAGCATATTTTTCGAAAGGCAGCATACTTTTTTGTTGGACATCATGACGCTGTAAGCAGTTCACAAGGTTTTGAGACACTATACGCTTGGCAAGTAAATGGACAGGGCGGCATGGACCTGTCAGGTTGAAAATATAGTGTAAAATGTTAAATTAATAGCATCTAATTTAGGCTAATCACTGTAATTTAGGTCTCGGTGCTTGATTTCCAACCTCATCTAAGGTGACAATATGAAAAGCAGATTTTAACAGCAATTTATTCATGAACTGGATCAAAGTCAGATAATAATGACAGTCCAATATTTCCAATTAAATGAGCGTTTCCCAAAGAGTCTTAGATCTGACTTGTCTGGAATATGAGACCATAAAACATTCTTATAAGAATAAAATTGATTGCATTCCCAAAGTTTATCTTTAAGACTGCTCTTTTTTCTTGAGATTGTCGATTATTCTTAAAATGTCTTAAGTCAGTAAATTATTTTTTTATGTTTCCAGATAAGTCATAGTTTGAATAAAGTAATGAAATTACTGAACAAAGATCCTTCACCGCTCCAAGATGTTTTCCTTGATTCTCGTGAAACTCTCAGAATTTCTCTTAAATTTCTTCTGAAAGTAGATTTACATGAATATGGCCCCACTTAAGGTTCCACCTTGAGGGAAGGAGAGCGATAAATATTAGAGGTAATTTTTTACCATAAAAGACCAATTCCTTGCAGATAAAAATAAAAAACAAAAACAAAGGGTGTATACGAAACTTCTCACACACATAAAGCCAAAAAGAGTACAGCAGTTGGCCATAACTGGAACAGGGCAATCAAGTGAACCTTACAACAGAGCTTTCATTTTTCTCCTGGTACTGACCTTTTTTCCAACCAACCTAATTTGGCACTAAAAGCACAGCAAATACCATCCCATCACGACTGAAAGGGTGGGTTGCTTTTGCGTCATCTCCTTTAAACATTCAGAGAAAAAAAATAATCACATGATGTCAATGTTCTAAAAAAATAAACCTGCACAATGCAAAACAGCTTGGGTATAAAATACAATAAATGAATATAGCATTCGCCAATTTCCACATATTGTGTTGCTTCCATCAGGGTTGTGTTTGATAAACATGACCTATCGCCCGTGTTAATAAAGAACATTACGGTTTCAACATTTAAAATGCATGCAAAAACTGTCTGGTCAATTTTTTTCACTGTCATATCAACCCGTTATTTCTCTAAGATCTCAACACGAGTTCCAAGTCATCTGGCGCACATCAACTAATTGTTTATTTCACCATAGGCAATGGTGGTCTCATGGAAAAGATCAGGATAACCTTGGTCTGTGATAATGGAACATGCACCAGAATTTGATTTCCCACCATACCTGCAGGCTTTCCGGAATGAGAACCGTATAAAAGATAACAATATAGGTCTAATGTTCTCTTAAAACAACAGAATATTGCAAAACAATCCTAAAAAACTGAAAAAAACGTATATTTTATGTCCTTTGTTCCTGGAAGAAAACTCATTCGAGGCGTTTCAGGGAGTTCGTAAACTGTGCTTACTTACTTCATGTTTTATGTAAACGTAACTGAGAACTCGTAAAGAGCGACTTCTGAGCAATAAAACAATCATCTGGGTTTAGAAAATGGACATGCATTTAAGTTTGCAAAAAATTTGAAACACAAACTTGCATGTGATCTTTACTTTGACTTACATTTCTGAACGTCTTTCTACAGTTTGCTGACTTTAGGCATTTGCTGAGGCTTTCGTTGTCCTGATTAACTGGACCACATCTTCCTACCACAAAACTGCAGGCCATCACCCAAGCACTTTCCTCTGGTCATTATGTGTGTGAAACCTATCTTAGAGTCGAATTTATCCACTATAAATCTGGAGGGGGAATAAGAGCAGATGAACAGGGCTTGGGTAAATGTGCTACAATTCCAGAACCTAAAGCTATTCAAGTGTGGTCAATTATATGTTTCACACATACAAGGACATGTAGCAGACAGCAAGTGTCACAACATTTATTACAGAATGAATCCCCCTGGAGCAACCTAAGGTGACGTGTTTTGCACAGTGGAGATTGAACCAGCAATCTTGAGTACCAGCCCTGGGCTTTAACCAATATACCACATCTTCACGTTTTTTTTTTTTTTTCCATTTTCGCTAAAAGCTGTAAATGGACTAAGTACTGCTGTGACTAATGACTTCATTGGTCTCCAGTGAGGAATCTCTGACAGAGACAAATGTTCTTTAGCAGCTATCACGATGTCATTGGCTTTTAGGCCCACAAAATACACCACTGGGGATATTTCGCTCATCCATTTGCCTTATGAGAGGAAATAGTCGAATATTAAAGGGAAGCACAATTCGGAAATTGCAGAAAACATTTTAAAAGTAAACTAGACTTTAACATTTTCTATAAAAAACGATTTAAAAGCTGTCACTGGGGATGTACCGCTACATAAGGCGCATCTTTTTTTAGCTTATCTTGAAACGTTTTCTTATATGAATTGAGCAGTTTAGTCTAGATTTTCCTGAAGACACTTTTTAACAGATTTAATTTAGACTTTTATTCACATATAAACGAATTTAATTTAGACTTTTATTCACATATAAACATTGATCAAGGAAAAGAAATTCAACCATACATACTTGACCTGTGAGAACACTAGAGTGAACATCATTGGTTCTTGCGGAAGCTCAAACGTTCATTAAAAACTTGATTTTCACCACAGGGGGACTTTAAAAGTATTCAGAAACAAAGTTTTAAAAGTTGAGTTAAATCAGTTATTGATTTATGAATGATCGATGCTGTCAAAACATTCTCACCATTTTGACCATGCTTCAATATCTGACGCTTTAGACGCCCTTTAGCGTCAGTTAGATGACGCCGTAGGATCGCGTCATGTAACTGACGCTAAAGGACGCCTAAGGCGTCAAATATTGAAGCATGGTCAAAAGGTGACGCTTTGGGGTGAGAATGCGTTGATTAATATGGACAGAAATGCACGAGAAACTGAATTGAAGGACTCGAAAGTGCTATAAAAACGTCAAGCCATTTTCTCCAAGGGCATATTCTCTAGCAGCAGAACTTAAAAAGATCTTTAGATTTACTGGCATCAAAGCAACAGATCGAAACCTGGCCATTCTCAGAGAGTAAAAAGACTGAGGTTTGAACATTTTCCTCCTCTGGGAGATTTGACTGAAAATATAACCTCTGTGGGACAATGATGGGCGGCAAGTAAATATATCTGGAACAGAAATACATCAAATTAAGAAATAATGGCTTCCTAATATTATTCCCAATGCAGAAAAGGATCACAGTTTCTCACAGAATATCACTGAATTTCACAAAAATTGTTTTGCTTTGTTTTGGACTGGAGGTAAATATTTGAGAATTGGGACTCTTCTTGTGCCAAACAATGGTTTCATGTGCAATGATATGGGCTGGAGTTGTCTGGGAAATAAACAACACATCTGTACTAAAAAAAACCCCTGACTGAATGAATTTTTTATGCTGTATGCTTTTTTTATACTGTTGGCCTAGTGCTATAGTCGTCATACTTAGATTGGCTAGTCTGCACTGCAACTACGGTTCAATTTGGGAAGACGATTTGAATGATAAATGAAATATTTGCATAAATCTTGCATGATTGCTCTGTGAAAGCAGTTGAGATTTCTAAGCCAGCCTAATAGTCGCAGAGTGCATTTGGGGCACGATTAAGAGTCATTTCCGTCCTTAAAATGAACTTTTTGTAATCAATTAACCCAAGTGGGATCTGTTTTCCAGTGAAATGAAAATCACATGTTTGGCACCAAAACTGCATAAAGCAAGTCAGGGTGAAAAACTGTGATGTAAAAAGGAAAAAACGACCAATCTGAGCATTTTGGTAACCATAACGTACCAAGTGCAACATGTAATGTATAGATTACATACAGAAAATGCGAAATTTCGCCAAACTTAGTATTGCACAAAAAATGTTGGGTAAATTAAATTTCCCTATACCCACTTCGTGTTAATTCATTTAATGATACACTTGTTCCCTATGCTATCTGCAGTGTATTTTATACTTCTTCCTTGATTTCATTAAGATCTCAAAACTGTTGCTGGACGCTAAATGGAGCATACACTTTATTTATTGTGAAAGATGTTGCAAAAGGAAGTGCACTTGTGAAACCAAACCACTATACCGGTCAGTCATTGTGTGAAGAAATGTAGAAATCATCCCTTAGACGTCCTTGTGTATGAGAGAAAAAAAATTTACAATTACAAACTGAGATGGCAGCCCTTTAAGGCATCAGTATCCAAAAACCCACAGCTCACAAATCCTCTTTACCACCCTGAACTATGAACCCCTTGGACTCTGCAGGTTAATCGGCTGTGCCACACTGTGAGCTTGTGATAAACAGCCCATCCTCGAAATAAAGTCATGCCACTGCTCGAGTCGCTTCAAGTGCCTCGGCTGACAGCTACCAGAAATAACCGCAGATTTACAGCTATGAAGATTAATGAAGTGACGTCTGAGAGTATCTACGGCCTCCTGTATCTTCCACCAAGGCCTCTTTAGTTACTATAACTCTTGCTGTAATGTCCTGTTAAATGTTTCATTGGCCTTCTCAGATCAGTCACAAGTTGGCTTGTTGTGCAGAGATTGGTTTGTGGTATCAATCTTGAAGAACTGTTTTGGGGTCGATTCAAGCCCTATCGGTAGAATATGTGATGTTTAGCACTAAGAATTATTTTGTTTTGTCCCTCAAAACAAAAAAAATGTACTTTAGCATAAGGGGCTAAAGAGGGTTAAAAAGAAGCAGTGCACTGAAAATATTCTTCTAAAACTATTATTTGAGTGATAAACTTCATATCATCCTTTTAGTAAAGTTGCATAACTGTTTTAGAGCTTCTAGTTATGAGTAATCAGTTTTTGTGGCTAAATTTCCCTTTACAGTAAGTAAACAGTTCATTGTGCGGATCATGTAAATTGGCTACAGGAGTTGAAAATTGCATGTAAGTTTGCATAGACAAGGCTAAACAATTGACATTTTTGTGGTTGAACTTTCCAAAAATCAGTATTATAACATTTATTCCAGTGCAATGTTCTGCCCCCTAGCTAGACTCCTATTATAAGTACATTACCGTAAACCAGTGTTTTTTATTGTTAAAGGGGTTACATGTAGAATTCAGAAACCCTTGTTATTAGCGACACCGGTGGCCGTTAAGTGAATTGCAGCCAGCAACTTAATCGAGCTCGTGCTTATGTAACGTACAAGAGACTGAACGTGATTGTCAAAAAAGTTGGAAATACCTCTGTAGCGATAAACTGTTCAGACAAACATCCCGACGCCGCCCACGCTGCTGAGAGCGACATTTAGAT